TTGTCGTGTGGGAAGCTGAGCAGATCACTTAATCCCTCCTAACTTGTTCTCCCTGTCTGTAACATAAGTATTAGGTGCATCATCATGCTTCTGTGGAGTATGTTAGTGGTGCAAGATTCCTGAAAATTTGATTAAAAAATGGCAAACATCCGGGGAGCTGGCAGCAAAAGGAGCCTCTCCAACGAGCTTTGAGGAAAGAGATAGGAAGTTTATAACTGGAGCTAAATCTTCCCCATAATCTAACTGAAAATGTCCTCATGATGCCTGATAAGTGGGAAATCGTCTACCAGAAAACTCTCACAGCACTGGGGTAGTTTGGCTGTCTACTCTTTTGTTATTCATGTTATTCATATCAATTTCATGACTAGATAATGCTGTTTAGGACAAGATCTCTATTTTGTCTATAAAATCCACATTTAGAAAATTCCAGACATGCTAGGAAGAGAATTGTGATTCCTGAGAACCCCTGTGTGTGAAATACATGGCATTACTTCCCTGCTTCAGAAGTGTTGTGCAGCCTTGAATTGAACTCTTAACTTCCCTCAGAAAAGCTCTACCTGCCTTTCTGCCTTGAATCAAGACTTGTTCTCTAAAGTACCTACATGCATGTAATACTGTCTGCTAAGAGCAAATTTCACTTTGTAACTGTTACTTTGTTATGGCTTTAACTTTTTGTCCACAGCATCTCCCAGTGTTGCATGTAACACAGATAGGGGCAGGACTGCCCTTCTGGTAACTGGATCTTCCCTGAGAGTGATGGAAAATATCAGACACCGAGTGGGTTTTTTACAGGTCTAATGGCATCATTGAGGCAGTATTTAGACTGGGAAATAGGGAGGAGAAACTATGGGACTGACTTTCTTAAGCATAAATACATGAACATTCAAAACATTCCCAGAGAGTCACGTTGCACAACTTAATGGGCCTTGTGCCCTCACCTGTGCCTATTTTATGTGACTCCTAACTCTGGCATTAAATAGAAACAAGACTTGTGCTAATGACATCCACAGCCCGTGGTAAAGAAAATATGCTGCTACTTTGATACAGATCCCCGTTTAAGGAGGACACAATAGACAGCCAAGGCTTTTTCCCATCTGCTAGGTGAATATTACAGTTCCTTGCCCAGAAACATGCCTTCAGCAACACCCCTCTATTTTCAGTGTTACACTAGATAATTTTTAATAAGAAAATGGTTATCTACTGCCCCTGTGTTTGCCACCTTGACTTTACCCTCCTTCTCCATTAGGTGAAAGGAGGAAAAAGGACGAGCTGAGTTGGCTGGGGGATGGGAGCAAATAACTTGGGGAGGGTGTTAAACAGACCAGCTGCTATGTGTGAAGTATCTGCTTTCTAATTGCTTCTGTTGGAATTCAGGGGATAAAGGCACTGGCTACACTTAATTAATAAGGCAGGACTCATATAAACTCCAGCTGTGAGCACAGGACTGGTCTTTAAAGGATAAGCTCAGGAGGTGAGGCAGAGTTTGATTTTGTCGCATGAAATCCCATCACACGCTGCTGGCGGTGTGAGTCTGTCTGTCCGTCCATCCACTTAAGCCTTTTGCTCTGAACTAGACATGAGGTATCTGTTGTTGTCTGTGCCCCATCCCAAAGAAAACTGATCTGTCCTCAGAAATCAAAGATGTGAGGCTATGTTTCAAGCTAGGCTGAAACTGTTGTGCTTTCACCCTAGCTTGGAATCCCCCAGAAGAGATGTTTGGATCAAGGGTCTGTTCAGGTTTAACAAAAATATGAGTTTCTGCAAAGATGTAAGCTTGGCCTGTGGCCCTCTTTTCTGCCTAGTTTCAGAGGGTCTGGATTTTGCATTCAGAATGTCTCTCTTTCTCATCCAGACACTCTGCCTGAGGGGGTTTCTACAGGGGCAGGTCTGGTGGGCTGGTTGTACAGCTGATGCCTCAGGATCGTTTTCCGGTGATGTATTTGAGGAGCACAGTGGCTTTTCTTTCTCATTCTTTCTTATTTTTCTTTTCTTTTCTTTTCTTTTCTTTTCTTTTCTTTTCTTTTCTTTTCTTTTCTTTTCTTTTCTTTTCTTTTCTTTTCTTTTCTTTTCTTTTTCTTTTTTTTTTTTTTCTTTAAAGGGCTCAAAAAGGTGACTAGAAATTTCCCTGAGATATAGACAAGGCCCCTGAAAATCATATGAAAATGTGAATGCCACACTGTTCCCCATTTGTTCCTGTTCCATTATCACTTCTGTGGGGTGGCACCTCTGAATTTCAAAGCTTGCTGTGCAAGTGTGCTACACTAGGAAACAGTGGAGTCAGAAACAAAGGTGGAAGGGATGTTCCCATGTAGTTAAGAGTCTGTTTTTTCTCACTAGTTGTGTAAGGGAATGAGCTTCCTGCTTAAGGTGAGATGTCATTTGCTGTCCTGAAGCCTTTGAGACCTGGCTGGTCTGCTCTTTTGGACGCCAGAAGTCAGGGCAGGTCTGTTCCATGTGTGATTGCTCTCCCTCATGTGCCTTGACATGTCTTCCAGGAGGATCTGTTCCATGATCTTCCCATGCACAGAGGTGAGGCTCACTGGCCTGTAGTTCTCCATGTCTTCCTTTGTCCATCCTCGTAAATGGCAGTGATGTTTCCCTTTTTCCAGACCCCAGGGACTTCGTGTGACAGCCATGACTTTTCAGATATGATGGAGAGTGCCTTGACACCTATATCAGCCAGGTCCCCTAGGTCCCTGGGATGTGTGTCTTCTGGCCCCATAGACTTGTACACATTCAGTCTCATGAGGTGATCTTGGACTTGCCCTTTCAGTGGGGGGGAGTTTGTACCTCCATTTCCCGCCTAGAGGTTCGGGGATGTGAGGTTCAGGGGTGTGAGAAATATGAGAATCCTGGCTGCCATTTCATTTAAGGATGAGAATAGTGTCTTTTCTCTTTTTAAGTATGGATCAATCATGTATGAAGATGAACTCCCACTCAGCCTCCCTTCGTCCCTAGTACTTTCATTTCATTCTCCTGCTGCTTGCTCTTTTATGGTTTTGTCCTTGACTGGTAACATTTCTCTCTTGTTCTCCCTTACATGCACCATTAAGAATGGGAAGAACTTATATTAAAAGCTCAAGCCTCATGTAGATCTTAAGCTGTAAATAATGTTTTATACAGGTTCTAAGATTATTAAATCCTTCCAGTTTGCCTCCCTCCTACTTTTACAGTTCATTTGATTAGAGTGGAAATATTCTTTTGAAAATTAACTATTTCTGTTTTGATTTTGCAAGCAGCCTTGAGAAGACACAATCTGGCTGTGCGTATTGTTAATCAGATTTGCCATAGGAATCCAGAAACACTGCCTTCAAGAGAACTGACTGTTGGCACATGAAAAAAGCACACCAGAGAAACCCTGAAGTTCTGAGATGTAGTTGACTTTCTAAATACAGGCAAGTTGCAATTAAAAAACAGTTATTTGGGGAGAGAAATGCATTCAAAATACAGTTCTTTGGAGGGGGCTGGCAGGCACATCACAAGTGAAATAAATTAGTAATGTGAGGAGGTAGCTATGCTCAAGGATTAACTAATTTTGGACAGCTGTAGGAGCCAACCCACTGGGCTCTGTGCATTGCCTCACTGTAACTATTTATCCTGCTCCTCTGGATACCAGGGCATCACAGAACCAAGCATCTGAAATGCAGCTTTCCCTACAAATAACTAAACCAAACAACTAAACCAGCTGCCGCATTTTGCAGAGATCCTGACACTGTAGTGCTGAGCTGCTCTCCATCCCACTTGATGGAATCTGCTCACCTCAGCCTGTGTGTTGGGGTATGGCCAGTCAGTCAGGCTTTGCTAGTGTGGGGCTGAGCATGGAGAAATATCCTTAGCGATATTTATTGTAAAGCTGCTGAAAGGCTTCACAGTAGACAGCCTACACAACGAAACTATCTCCTCCAATTAGTCCATGGTCATCAGTGAGGTAAATGTCTCTGCCTTCTGACCCAGACAGGGTGGGGTTTTAATAACAGACATAAATCTGTTGTGCTTCTCTCCTCATGACCTAACATATGCTGTCAGGGCAATGCATGCCTCAGAGAAGTAGAATTTATGTGTACAATAAAACAATAGAGCTTCAGTGCTATCAGCTGTTTGATGAACTTTAATATACATTTGCTATAAAAAAGGCAGCGAGTACCAGAATGTGATACTCAAATAAAAGCCCTTGATCCATTTGCATGACAGATCTTCAATTTACTCACATTCATGTGAGGGACACACATAAAAATTATATCCACCCTTAAATTCACTTAGAAGCAGCCTGAAATACCCCCCAGTTGCAAGTGATACTGCAGTACTTAGCTAATACTCATGTTTCCGTGGCTTTGCCTTCATGATTCTTCCAGTGGTTCCTTTATGTTTTCTGGTATTTTGCCAAACACCTGTGAATCGGTGCACAACAAATATTCTTGCCATTTAATTTAGGCTTGCACAGAAAGGCTATAGTAGGCCGGCTGCAGACCTAATCCCAAACCTCTAAAGAGGTTTAAGGCACTCTGGTTTCACCTAATCCCGAAACCTAAACCAGAATCATTGAAAACCTCCATGACACCATAGGAATGGGCAAATAAAGGGTTTCCACTATGAAATTATTAAAGGGACACGGTGTATCTTTTGGATTTGAAACCTAAGGCTTTACCTAAGGAGCTTGGTGTCCACAATGCAGCATTTGTTTTGAAGACAGGAGGTTGAAAGCTTTACTGAACTGGAGATTCGGCTCCTTGCTCCTGCCCACCAAGAAGAGGGTGATCCCTTGGAGGGACGGAGGACGGGAAGGAGGGGGACCTGCGAGCAGGGGCGGCTGTGCAGCACGTGGTGTGTGGGCCCTGCGGCACGGCTGGTACTGGTGGTACTGGTGGTTGGTATGGCGGTACTGGTGGTACTGGTGGTACTGGTGGTACTGGTGGTTGGTATGGCGGTACTGGTGGTACTGGTGGTACTGGTGGTACTGGTGGTACTGGTGGTACTGGTGGTTGGTATGGTGGTACTGGTGGTACTGCTGGTACTGGTGGTACTGGTGGTACTGGCAGTGCAGTGCTGCTGCTTGGAACAGAGATTGTGCTTCTGAGAGCTCTGAGAGGGGCGGCAGGGTGTAAGATCCCGCAGCGCGACGTGACTTTCAGTGACAGCGGCACATTTCATCTGGCGTTAATTCGAGTTCAATTAATTCCATTCCGACCTTCCTGAATTCTGGTAACCGCCCCACCTTGCCCTGAAAGATCGGTGTCCTGAAAGGGGCGCCGCACGCTCAGGAGGCCGCGGAGCGCTACTAACGGTACCCAATCTGACGAACGCCTCCGAGCAAACGGAACACGCGCGGCACAACCGCGACCCGCAGCGCCCAGCCGCTCCGCGGCCCTTCATCGCGCTCCGCTCGGCGCATGCGCACCGCACCGCCATCCCCGCCCGGTGCCAAGAGCGGCCCGCGGGCATCACGTGGGTCCGGCCCGCTGCCGCGCGGCGCTCCGCGCGTGCCCGGTCCCCGGGAGCAGCGCAGGGTACGGCGGGGAGCGCCGAATCGGCGCCGTTTCGCTTCCCAGCCCCCCACCCCGAGGCGGAGCGACGCTCGGTGAGGGACGGCGGGGGGAGGGCAGCGGCGCGCGGAGGAGGCGGCGGCGGGGCGGGCGGGAAGCGTCGGCTGGGGGAGGCGGAGTGCGCCTGCGCGGGGCGTCGCCGTGGCAACGGCGGGGCGGCGTGCGTCGCTCCGCGTGGAACGGCGGCCGCCTCGCGCGGTGGCCGCCCGCCCGGTGCTTTCGTGGCCGCCAGAAGCGCGTCTTTTTAGGGCATTTAAAAGGAAGCGGTAACGAACGAGCTCACGTAAAACCCGCGCGGCCCCAGTGGGGCACGGGGCCGAACCCCGGCTTTCGGTCCGGGCCGCCCGCTGAGGAAACGCTCCGCCACAGCGGCGTCCGCGTGCCGGCACGGAGCGCTGCGAACGGCCGAGGGCGCGGAGCTCCGCTCGCCCCGCCGCGCCGCAGCCGGGCCCCGAATGGCCGCACTGCGCCCCCTGGCGGCCGCGCGGCTCGGAGCGGCGGCCGTTGAAATGACGGGCGCGTTCCGTGCGGCTCCTTCGCGTGCCGCTTTCCGGTAGAAAATCGGCTCGTGTCCAGATCCAACAACTTCATTTTGAAATAAATAAGGTAAAAGAAAAGGGCGCGCTGATTGGTTGCGCTCTGGGAGAAAATAAAGGCCGTGAGAGGTCGGAGTCGGGGTGACTCGGTGCTCCTTCGGCCGCTGTTTGTCCGCCTTTCGGTTTCCCTGCAGCCCGGCCGGGCGCCGTGTCCGTGTGCGGGGCGAGGCGTGCGCCCGGGCTGCAGCGCGAGCTGTGTGAGCTGTGTGAGCCCTGCGGCCGGGAGCGCGGGTTCCTGCTGTTATCCGTATCAGTACGTTTTGAATAAAGCACTGACTTTTTTTTTTTTTTTTAAGTATTTTATCCTGTTTTTAATGATTTCTGTAACGTTTTAATTGATCCGCAGGCAGGCTTGTCACTGTAACAGCATCCCGTGGTCGGGCAGTCTGGTTTTGGTACCGGTCTGGTAGAGCTGGTTTATTCACATGTGCTGTTAGCAGTTATCAGTTCTCAGTCGATTACGGCAGTTTTGCAGACGAAGTGACGTTTGTGCACACGCTGGGATGGACACCAGCTTCTCGTTTCAAACAGCCTGGTTTTGGTTCACAGCTGCAGTTTTAAGCATTAGAATCTAACACAGAGGAGAGCAGATCTGCTGTCTGCATGCTCCTCACCTTTCTGGAACCTGCAGCTCAGTTCAGAACACAGCCAGTTTCTTTTTGCAGCGAAGCCTTTAGCACTCGCTCTGACTTCTGAGGAGTGTCTGTTGTCACATACATCTGCTGTGTTGTGTTCTGTGTTTGCATGCTTTCCTTTTTATCTTGAGTACTGTTTCTCTGCAAGCTCAGCCATGAGCACGCAGCATTTCAGTGCAGTGGTGAGAACCGCAAACCAGTTGTTGCTAATTGTTAGCAGGTGTGGGAATTCAGTGCTGAAAATTCTTGCTTTCCAGTATTTACCTGTGAAGCATTGTCTCTGTGGTGGAAAACAGCTGCCATGACTCTGTGTGCTTTGTATAAGCGGTGCTGTTGTGGGCAGGTTGGATTAGAGGTGATGTTACATCCCTGGCGTTGTAAAGACAAATCTAGAGATGATTAAAGAACAGTTGAGCTTTACTTTTTGCACACCTTTTCCGAGCAGTGGGACATGATGTGGTACTTGACTTTTGTACCAGTTTAACCTTGGCACAGGGTTGTGTGGTTGTGAGGATGTCTTTACATAGAAAAAAGGTTTCATAGCAGTAGTAGCACTTTGATCCAAAAAATTCAGTCTGGATGGATTTGTTTTCTTTACATGAATACAGTTTGACCCACTGCAATATATCTGGTAGCACAAATGATGGGTTTGCAATTAGTGATACCTTGAACACCTATTTAACTATTGTTTTGTGGGTTTGGTGTTGTTTCTTTCTTAAAATACTGGTCTCTGCAGAGCAGTCGAAGTGCTCACAGAGCCATGAGAAAGAAATACATCTACAAAAATATCTGTGTATTTTTTGCATGAGCAGAAGAGCTTCCTTTGGAGCCTCGCGCTGGCACTGCTGTGTGCTAAAAGGAAGTGGACTCTGCTTTTCCTAAGCAAAATACTTACGTGTGTATAGACGGTATTACTACGTGTGTATACATACACGAGTGTGTGTGTACGTGTCTCTCTATATATGTTTCACAACTTTCTATGGCACGTTCTGTTGCTGTGCTGCTAACAGTGGCACAGCTCATCTTTTCTGATGTTGTTTCGTTTCTCGTGTTGTTGCGGCGTGCTGTGCGTGTGCTTACAGTCAGGGGCTGTTTGAAAGAACTGGAGCTTTGTGGGATGTCAGGTTTGCTGTGCTGTGAAAAGCAACTCATTAAAGTGTAGATGCTGTTATCAGGGGTGTAGGTCTTTGTAGGTCATGGTTAGGTGGCAGACGTGGCACAGCTCTCAAGGACGGAGGTATTACTGGGTTTGTTTTCAGAGGCACGTATTATCCTCAGCACTTTGCTGAGCGCTCAGCTGGAGGGTCTGAGCTGTGTCGTGATTGAGAAGGAGTTCAGATGCGAGTCTGTCTCTTCTGCATGTCAGAAGTGGGAGCTGCAGAGCACCACCTTTCCTAAGGACGGCTTTATTCTCACTGCTCTTCAGAGGGGCGTAGAATCGGAGCGTTGCGCTGTAAGCAAATGAGGAGCCCTGGGAGTAAAATCTTCCAGTCTGCAAATTCTCTCTCTCGTAATTTATTTTTAAAGGTCAAACTGTGACTGTTACAGAAAAAAGAAAAGTAATTTGTACAGGAAAACCTTTCCAGGTGATACTCAACCCTGACCTCTGCCTTTAGGTTTCCCAGAGCTGCTGGGTGGCTGCTGGCTGAAAGGCGAAGCTGAGCAGGAACTGTTTGCAAAGAAATGCGAGCGATGCTTTGCCTTTACATTTTTTTTGGTTATTATTTTAAGTTGCTCCATGATTTTTTAGTAGACATTAAATTCTTTGATTCAGAGAAGGAAAGGATTGTGCTTTAAAACACAGCAGGTAGGAATATGAGGACGCCGTTCCACACTCGGACAGCTGGAGCAGCTGTGTGTTCCCCACTGAGATGAAAACGCTGCACTTTGAGATTTAGAAAGGTAAAAAGTGTGACTGGAGCATTAAATGGGGGGGCCACATGATACCAAAATTTAGCTCTGTGTTCATTGTAAAGAAAATCCTCGTTGTAGAAGGGAAAAAATGAACTTGTTCCACCACTTTCTTTTTTTCCTCAGGAGAAAACACAGAATATATCCTAGGTAATAAATCTGTTTTATGGCTCACATGAGAAAGGGTGGAGAAACTCCCATTATTTTCTTCCCAGAAATTGAAATGCACATGAGCTAACATGGAGACACTGGGATTTTCATCCAGCAAACGCACAGCTGGCTTCTGCTTTTATTATTTTCCTAAGCCTAATAATTTTTCATTTGATTAGCTGGTGGCTGACAAAGCTATCACTTGCTCAGTGTTTTGTATATTTAGTAGAGTAGGTGTAATGCAAAAATGATAGTGTAATACATACCCAGAAGCATAGCTCAACCTGCTCATTTGATGAGCAGTTTCTACTTCCCTCTCTTTAAAATGCCAGTGTCTCTCATCAGGTTTTGTTTTTGAGCAGAAAGAAGTAACTGCTTGAGGACTGGGGGCAGGAGAGCTGTGTAAGCATCTAAGAATTCATTTTTGATGTTTGCATTATGGAATGGATACAAATTTGCACGATGCTCTGTGTGTGGAAAGGGATGGCAGGGATGAGGTGGAGGTCTGCAGGGCGGCTTTGCCTTGTGGATGTGCCAGGAGCATCTGAGGAAGGAAAGTCCTGGTTAGAGTGAAGATTTTTAACCCTGATGAGTTCGTTAGAAATCTTGACTTCTGCCTCATTTGATGTCAGTTTGGTGCTCTTCTATACAGTGAATGCCTGGGGAAGGAGTGCTTTGTAAGGATTAGTAGAACCCGTGTCCTGAGTGTCTGCATTTTGACCCAGTAGTTGCTGATAAGTTCAAGCTCTGGAGCTGGAAGGGGATGACTTTGCTAAATGCCACGAGCCAATGTATTTTCCCTGCTAGAGAAAGTGACCTTAATGGAAAAATGGGGGACAACATTGTGCAAACTCTTTGGATCTCTCTCTCTTAGAGCCTTCGTGCCTGCTGCAGATCGGAGCACCGAACTCTTGTGTCTCTGGCATAGGAGAAGCTGCCATGCTGGCTCCTGGCTGGGGAGAGCTGTGCTGTGGCTGGAGGGGAGCAGCTGGGGATGCAGCTGGGGATGCATTGGAGCAGGCATGGTTTGCTGTGGAGGCACACGCCTTTTCTGCAGCACAGCACCGTGCCTTTCCTTTGCACGCGATCCCTTGCCCAGGTGCAGAGGGCTCCGTCTGTCCGTCTGTCCGTCTGTCGGTTGTTGAGTCTGCAGTGCTGTGCATGAACGTGTGGTGCAGGGAGACGTGGCAGGTCTGCTGGAGCAGTTCGTCTCCATTGAACAAGACTCTCGAATTCGAGAATAATTGGGAAAATGTGAAACGTTCAATATTTTCATGTTTATTTCTTTTTTTTTAGTTGTGTATTCAGGTCCTCCTCCTTTCACTTCAACAATTGAGGGTGTTGGTTACTTCCTCCCATGTTTATGTAAGACAAGCTTTTTATAGTCCATTTTCCAGTTGCTGTATGTGTTTCCTCCACAGCAGTGTAACACATTATTCTTCCCACCCCCTCGCAGCCAGATACGCTGATAGAAGGCCTTCACTTGTTGCTTTTTTTAATCTGGTTTGTTGTGGGTTTTGTGCTGTTTTTTAAATAATGGAGCTATGGGATTGGACACGGTCATTACTCCTGCTTAGAAATGTGCTTTTTGACAAACTGTGTTTTGTTCTCAGTAAAGGAAGGCCGTGTAATGTAGCAAGGGTCGATCGGCCGTGCTTGGCTGACAAGGCGTTTGGTTTGAGCTGCGCGCTTCCAGCTCAGTTGTGGCTTAGCTGAACGTCCGCCTGGAAGAAAAAAGAAAAG